AAAAAAAAAAAAAAACAGCATGATCAAATGAGTTGAGAACACCATCCCCACAGTGCCATTATCCACCCAGTTCAGCCGTCTACAGCTCTCGCTCACAAAAACTTACTAAGCCACAGGAAAGAAACTCGATCCGTTTCACGGCCAGTTGGGACTAAACGCGTCGCAAACCGCCGTGCCGCGTTTGGGAAAACGCGTTGAAAAATGGCTAATTTCAATCAAACCTGTATCAACTATGGTCTAAAATGTGATAAGCTCCCGTTGGGTACCGAGAAGTTAGTGCAGGAAATCAACGTGGTACCATTTCATCAGCAGAATTCTGCCCTAACAAAAGACAAGATATGTGTCGCTTATCCAGCTCCCCTTCCCTCCTGCCCCGTGCTTTTCCCCCTTCCAACCGTTTTTCGTCCCTCAACAATTTTTTCAAACTTAAGCAAATTAGAATGGCGGCTCCGACGACGTATGCGTACAATTTAGTAAATGTGAAATTTCAGACTGTGACGTGCGAGAAGGAAACACGTCCTGAAAGGTGGTAACGTTTCTAAAAAAAAAATCAAACGGTTCTCACTTTCCGGTGGATTTGCACGAACAAATTCCGCAACATGTGAAAATACTTCACGTTCAGTGAGTGAATCCCAAACACCGTCGCATGCTAGCAGTAGAAGATATTCCGAATTGTCCAGCTCGAAAGAAATAATATCTGGCTCCGGTGATATCATTGGTCGACCATCAATATCACCTAAAATTTAGCAAAAATTCTAAGACAGGAAAGACCCTTCAGTGTTTTATTATTAGAACCTTCCGTTTTAATATCATCTCCGCGGATGCCTGGGTTCTTTCTTGCTTTGTCTTCCAAAACGGAAATTAGCCAAAACTTTTAGTCATTCTTCTAATCTCCTCATCTCCACCTTTTTTCTATTTCCCTCTCGCCCAAAAAACCCAAGATCAACGCACTACTGAAGCTGTGCCTGGTAAAAAAAAATGCAAGTTTGCACAATCAGTAAACTAAACCGAGTGAACGTGTTAGATTTAGTACTCCGTTCACTCTCAATTCGCCCTGTATCCGAACAACCATTCCACCAGCCTCTTCAACTCGACGAACTTCTTCCTGAAAAAAAAAAAAAAAACACATGCACACCCAGGTACTGGACGAAATTTGTTCAGTTCAATGTGAGAATAATCCAAAAAAAAAA